TTATGCACACGTGTATATGCACCCCCCCGAGAGGTATGCACTGCCCACACACACACACACACACACACACACACACACTCACTCACTCACAAACATCCTTTTTTTCCCAGTTACTGTAGACAATTATTTTCCCATGCTGGAGAGTGATCAAATCAGTTCCTCTAGAGTAGGGCTTAAGAAGTAGAGCTTTTTGAAAGTGCCCAGGTGATGCCCACACAAGTCACCGCTTTGTCTCCTACATGGCAGCACAGCCAGTGTGGGAACTTATTCCTGTTGGTGGCCAGCACAAGAAGCTCCCACATGTGCTCTGCAGCTGGAGCTCTGAGCATTGTTTTTCAAACATTAAACATTCCTTCGCTTCTCCATCTTCTTTCTTGGCACGTGGCATGTCAGTGGATAGCTATACTGTTCTCCAGATATGATATTTAACAGATTCTAGGTCTATCCTAATGAATCAGCCCCAGTGTGATACTGGTCCAGCAGCTTGAATCACTTCCAACTCAAACTTCTGTGGCCTCAGAATATGATTAATTGCTTTTCATTGTTACTGTTGTTGGTTTAAACAGACCATAAAACCTGACATCTGATCTCATATATCAGATGCATATGAGCTATGACTGCTGATTGGAAATGCCCTTTCGCTGCACTTCCTTTCCCTTTGTAGTTGTAGCTACAGAACAGGCATTTCTTGATGTTATTGTTAACGAATTGCTGAGCATCTCTAAGCAGAAGCTTCAGGAAGCGCCTTCTTCCATAGGTTCCTGAATCAAGCTACGAAGCTCTATACTAAGACGACAGTGGTGCCAGTTAACCATGTTTTCTTTACAACCAGTGCCATTGTTGCAGGTGAGTCTTGGCTTTCCATAGTAGGTGAGTCCACTCCCACCCACCATAAGCACAAATGAAGATTCTCTCAGAGGAAGTAAGAGAAATGTTTAGGTTCTAAAGAACCTGGGAGCACATGTTCCCAGCCTCCACCCAGTGTCTGAACTTCCTCTACAACCCTCTACTCTGTGAATGTGCCCCAGTGCTCTCTGCCTCCTGAGGCAGCTCAGTCCTGTTTCCCATCACTCGCATTAACTAGAGGATTCTAATTATCAGAAAGTGTTTCCTTATATTGGCATTCAAATGAATTTTCAAGACACTTATTTTTGTTCTACTTTCTAGAATCTTCTGCTTATTGGCTCTTCTGCTAATCAAAACAACTGAAAGGCTCTCTTGAGTCTTGCCTCTGAGCCAAACATCACCAATTCCTTGAACTTTTCCCTATAAGCCCCTTCATCACCTTGATGAGAGAGTGGGGTCCTAAACCCAATACCCCATTCCAGGGAAGGCCTGATAAATAAGGGTGAAAACTGTTTTTGCTGTTTCCTCTATTACAGGTCTTATATTTTAATGAACATTTTGTATATTGCAGATAAAATAATATTAAAAATATAAACTTAAAACTTGGTCCAAACCTAAATACAGTAGATTCAAGTAGATGGTTTATAAATTTGATAGTGATAGGCCCTGCCTAGATCATTAGCTTATTTGATGTAGTTCTCATCCAACTACTACTGCTATTATAGCACAGGCTGACCTTGAACTTGCTATGTAGCATAGGCTGGCCTGTAACTCATGATCCTCCTGCCTCTGCATCCTGAATGCTAAGATTACAGATTTGTACCACCAGGCCCAGACAAGTAGGCATTTTTTTTTGTCTTTTTGAAACAGGGTCTCCCTGTAGCCCCAGCTGTCCTGGAACTCACTATGTAGACCAGGCTAGCCTTGAACGCACAGAGATCCGCCTGCTTCTGCCTCCCAAGTGCTGGGATTAAAGGCATGCGCCACCATGCCTGGTGTGAGCATAAGGATTTTTTAAGACATCAGGGCTGGATCTTAGTGCTCAGCATATTGAGCAATTGGTGAATTAGAAAAGCTAGAACTTTCTGAGAATAATAGTTCATCTGATTGTACATGTGGAATGGAAGTAAAGCCTTTAATCTCAGCCCTTTGGGGGCAGAGTCAAGAGGATCTCTGTAAGATCAAGGCCAGCCTGGTCCATATAGTGACTTCCAGGAGGGCTGGGACTAGGGAGACACTGTCAAAAACAACAACAACAACAAAAATTAAAAACCATGTCTCTACTCTTTAAAACAGAAATTCCATTTCTAAAAATCTATTTTAATTACACAAAAATTCCCAAATACTAGGGGAAACGTGTACAAAAAAGTTGATTGCTGTTTTACTAAAGAGCAAATATTTAGATACAGCTTACATTGACTATCCTTAGAGAAGTTAACATTAGCGCAGTGTCCACTTAGAGTAGCATAAAAACATTGACATGACAACAAAGAAGTACATCATAACAGGGGAAATGCTTTGGAAGTGCTCATTCATCTGATAAATATTCATGAGAACCAGATATGGCTTCTTCCTGTAGGAAACTCATTCTGTAGGTGAAGAGGAGGGGTTGAGACTGAGGAAGCTTCTCTCCTGAGTTTGGGGCTCATCCTGCCCATCATGGGGTCTCCAGCACCTAAAGCAGTAGCTCCTGGGAGACAGTAAATATTCTCTGCCCAGCTAGCAAAGCTAACCACACACACACCCCTACCTTATTTCAGATGATTCATAATTTAAATTCATAATTTAAAGGTTTCTTAATAAAGACTCTACAAAGTCTTTGGGATCTTAAATGAAGACATCAATGAGATTAACAGGGAGAGAAGAAAAGCTGGTCAAAGTAGATGATGCACTGCTTCCCACCCCCACCCCCACCCCTGCCCAGGTCTAGAGGGGAAAATCAAAGGAAGGGGCTTCATGGAAGAAAACAGAGCTAGGATAACACCCCAGTTTCTAGAGATTCCTGCAGTGCCCACGGGCAGAGCCAAAGTGACAGCAGGGCTGCAGCAGGCAGCTGGAAGTGGGCCTACCATGCCAGGGTCCCAGGATCCACCCAGACTCCTGACTAACAAACATAGGTAGAAAATTTCTGATTACAGGGCTGAAGAGACCACTCAGTAAAGAGTTTGCTGCACAAGCATGAGGACCTAAGTTTGATCCCCAGAACACACATTTTTTAAAAAAGGCAGAGCTGTGCGTCTGACCCCAGAGTCCCATTGGCAAGTCAGCCTGGTCAAATTGGTGAGCCCCAGGCCAATAAGAGACCCTGCCTCAAAAAACAAGGTAGGCAGGGCATGGCAGCACACGCCTTCAATCCCAGCATTCAAGCAGGAACTCCATTAGTCCAAGGCAAGCTTTCCCTACATAGCAAGTTCCAGGCCATCCAGGGCTACACAGTGATACACTGTCTCAAACAAAACAAAGTAGATGGCTTATGAGGAATGCCACCTGAGATTATCCTCCAACCTCCACATTCACACGTGCACACACATGAACATGTACACATACATATCAATATATATACACATGCAAAATGAAATTTCTGCTTAAAAAAGTTATATCAATTATGTTGATGTTAAAATAATAATCACATTCTATGAAGTCTATAAGTCTATGTAAATCTTTTGAGTAATTTAAAATGTGTGACACACAGATTCTTTTAAACTACTGAATGTGTATTTTATGAATAACCATACATAGAAGAATGTATTAACATAATTTAAAAATGTGTCATATTATAAACGTTCTACCCTAAAGTTAACTTTGCCTTCTCCTGTGTAGGAATTGTATTTTACCAGGAATTCCTTGGTGCTACTTTTCTTGCTGTATTTATATATTTTTTTGGGTGAGTAAATGTCTCAGAGGTTAGGTATGTGAAATTCTATTACTTTTATATAGGATTTTTGGCATTGTACCTGAAGTATAGAAAATTGGAAAATAATATAAGAAACATCAGTTTCCTGAGCTCTTAAAAGAAACATATTTTTCAACTTAACACCCCACACAGGGCTCCATGCCTTTGGCTTTGTGGCTTTGGTATTCCTCTGAGGGCCCTGAAACATCGGGGATTTTCAGTTCCAGCCAAAGTCAAAATAAGTCCACTGGTCTTTGTAGCTACTCCACAGCCTGTTAGTATTATGTTAGATCCACTACCTTCTTGGGCGCTCCTAGGCTAGATCTCATCAATTTTAGGACCATGGATGCCTCTAGGATCACCCAAAATAAAAAGCCAAGACTACAATAGATCCCACACTTTAGATCTGAGAGCTTCGGTTTACTACCAGCCCCATCTTGTGTTAAAGCACCCAGTTTGGCCCATCCTGGAGACTCAATGAACATTCCTGTGAGCATGACAGGCAAACAGAGCTGAACCTTGCTGCTCTGTTGCCAATGAATAGAAGCATCCATTGGCTCCAGTTGTACCCCATTACTGCTCAGCCACTTCTTGATCTGCTCTTCAGCATGACCATTGTTATGCAAACTCGGGCCTAGACTATTTTTAGCATAGGAAACCATCTATCTTGAAAATTCAGCTTCATAAGACATTTAGGCAAGGCCAGACTTCTGGGGTCTGGAAACTGTGATTGCTCTTATGGCCAAGGGCAATGAGATTTCTTAGAAAATTAAAGAATAGCTTGTTTTTCATTCATGTCACATGCCAATAATGACTCTGGGCATTCATGGATACAAAATGAGACCTAGTGTCTACCCAAAGGTTTAGAGTCCCAATTAGCCTCCAGATGGTGAAAACCTGGAGCAGAGATTTATTGGAAGCTGCCCAAGTCTTCATTCTGGGTACAAATATTATTGGCTGTAAGAATTAAGACAAGTTCTAGGCAACTTACCATGAGAAATAGACTTTTAAAAAATGGATGGAATGTATGTCATTGTGTGGAGTGCAGCATCAGTTGCTTAACACCATGAGCTGTCTCAGTATTCCTGTGCTCTTTATTAACACTCTTACAGGTGCTTTCTGTCATTCCTTGGAGTGTTTTTGGTGACAAGAAATAGAGAAAAGGAACAGTCGAATCAGTCCTTTATTGATTTTGGAAATATTCCTGGTAAGCAAAAAAAAAAAAAAAAAAGTGTGTGTGTGTAAGTTCTCTATTTTTTTATTTTATTTATTATTTCTATTTTATGTGTATGCATGTATTACCTGCATGTAGATAAGTGCACCCATGTCATGCAATGCCCACAGAGGACAGAAGAGACAGACTGTCACGGACAGTTGTTAGCTGCCATGTGGGTGCTAGGATTCAAACCTGGATCTTCTGCAAGAACAGTTGGTGTTCTTAACTGCTGAGCCATCTCTCCAGCCCCATGTTCTCTAATTTAGAGTATAAAATTTTAATCCTTGGCCTGTGAGATAGCTCCATGGGTAAAGACTGTTGCCACCAACCCTAATGACCAGAGTTAAATTCCTGGGACTCACATGGTAGGAGAGAGTCAACTCCCACAAGTTGTCCTGACCACCACGCACACATGCACGTGCACACAAATAAATAGATAAATGAATAAATAAATAAATATAAATAAATAAATAAATTTAAAAAGTAATAAAAATTTTAGAAGAAAATTTTATCCCCATAAATGAAACATTGTTGGCTTCATTTTGTTTTTTTGCTTTTGTTTTTTGAGACAAGGTCTCCCTCTAACCCCAACTGGCTTGGAACTCCCTATGTAAACCAGATTGGCCTCAATCTCACAAAGATCCACTTGCCTCTAGCTCCTGAGTGCTGGGATTAAAGGTGTTCTGTTGACATTATTTTTACAAATTTTTTTTTTTTTTTTGGTCTTTTTAAGACAGGGTCTCCCTGTAGTCCTAGCTGACCTGGAACTCGCATGAAGACCAGGCTGGCCTTGAACTCACAGAGATCTGCCTGCCTCTGCCTCCCAAGTGGGATTAAAAGTGTGCACCACCACCATGCCTGGCTGGCATCATTTTTAATATTAAATACATATAAAACAATTTTTACCTCAAAAGGTATATTTGATGAAGCTTGAGGAGTCACAGTGTTACTAATTTATGGAATGTCAGGTCTGCATAGAACAATGAGCTTATAGAGGAATTGACCAGGTTTTTTTGATGTGGGTGATGTAGAGGATCTCTTCATTGGGTTCCTTAAAGTGTGAAAGGGAAGGAAACAGTGTGGGAAATGGCAGATCTCTGCCATTTAGAGAGCCTCAAAGGTACAGCCAAGGATTGAAGGTCAAGCTGCTAAGAAATATTCCCAAGGAAGACTGAAGCAGCTTATTCACTATGATGCCAAAGGTGACATCACCAGAGTGACCAGAACATGCTTGGCTTCCTTCCTTCTACCCTCAATATGCAGATTGGGCCAACATGTGTCTCCTTTCAGTGCTCATTCCTACTGAGAAATAACTCAGCTCAGCATGTACACAACAGGAGCAAAGTCCACAACAAGGCAGTGCCCTTACTAACCTCCCACACCAGCCCTACCCACTCCCAGCTTTGCTCGGATTTGGGGTTACCTATAGGTATCCAGGCAAAAGCAAAGAAGGTCTCAGAGCTTTGTCCATTGGTCTGCTAGCATCATGCCTTTAAAGCAGAAATCATTAAAATCTCTATAAGACTGAGCAGTGAAGGCCAAGGAAATGAATTCGGTGAGCTCTTTGTCATGAGAGCCATCTTAGCAACCAAGAGTATACAGCACTTGAATAATAACCATGCTTATTAATGACTTGTTTGGAACTAAGCTTTGGTAGGAAATAAAGTTTTCTGGGAAATACAGTTTCCTTATTTTTAACTATTTTCCACTTCACAGAGCCTCGCATGCAGGGATCAGTATTGGCTCTTGAGGCTACTGTTGCATGTTAGTTTTCTGTGTTGTTATATAGATGTGAAGAGTCAGAACACTGGAGAGAAAGATTTGGAGAGGAGTCAATGATTCATGTCACTCTCTGATTATCCCAACCTGGTTTGTGAGCAGATGTCATGTGGGCAGTGTGTAACCACATAGCAAGCAACATGCAATTTCCTGGGCCTTTTCTTCCTTGACATTTACCTTTTCCATTTCGAGGGTGACCATATAGTATTCTTTAAAGGAATAAAATATGGCCTAAACTGGAGAGAAATTATTAGGACTTTTTATCTATGAGAGCTCAGAAGACTTTTTGTGATTATTTATCTCCACAGGAAAACAAACATTGGACAAAATACAACCAGATTCAAATGGCATATCCTATGGAACCTTGCCTGATGGAAATGACTCAACAAAGAGTCAAGGTGGAGAGAAGAAAGAGGTCTAAAATGCCGAGAGGGATGGCTGTTGGCCTGTTATTCGATACCACCTTTTAAAAAAATTGCACATGTTCAAATTTGTGTCGGCAGCTATTTCATGCTGACATGTGCGAGCATTCGTTTCAGTCCTTCCCCCACTGTGGACGGTCAGGGCCTCCCTAAGCTCTGACAGTCTAATGCTTTCATGGAATGTGACTCCAGTGTTCCCCACACCCTGGCCCTCTCCCTAGTGATCATCTAACTGGCTACATCTTAATGAGAGCCTGGCTGCGCAAGCAGGAATGTCACATAAAAATGCACACTGGCAATTTGGCCATGGAAGACATAGGTTGCTTCTCCATGTGACTTGCACAGTCAGTTCCTTGGCGTTAAAGACATCCTCTAGTGCCATGACCTCACTCTTTTGAAAGGTTTGACACTTTATCTAAGGAAACCTTCTGGGAGCCTCCCATAAAAAGCTCTTTTCCCTAAATTAATAGTGGGTCATCTTTTCTGAAAGCTAATGCTATGAAAATTACCCTTTGAAAATAAAGGGGCCTCAGTCAGGCATGGTGGCGCATGCCTTTAATCGCAGTACTTGGGTGGAAGAGGCAGGTGGATCTCTCTGAGTTCAAGGCCAACCTGGTCTACATAGTGAGTTCCAGGTCAGCTGGGGCTACAGGAAGACCCTGTCTCAAAAAGACCAAAAAAAGAAAAGGGCCTCATTAAAAATGGAATTTACAAGTGGCATTCTGTGATGGCATATACTAAAACTCAGAGACCTGGCTGGTAGCCTTTGTAAGCCTAAAAAAGGAACATTGAAGATATAGGACTGTGCTCATTCTTATGGCATATGTCCTAAAATTCAGACAACACAGATGTTAGTTAGCATGGCCTCTTTGTAAGATAACATACAAATTGGTAAAGCATTAACAATTTTTGCACCTATGTTCATTGTTTTAATAAAATGATAGAATGCCAGCATTTTCTTTAACCTGAAGAAAACCTTTGTCTTATGCCTTTAATTGTTACAGATCTTATATTTTATCAGGTAGATGTATATGTTTTAACTTTCAACACAAGTGTCAAAAACTGCATTTAGGCTCTTGGGATAGTTGCCGTACATGCCATTCTTTCCCAGGTCCTCTCAAGTTTTGTCAATTTTTCTAGGTAAAAGGCAAATTGTGATTAGAGGACTGGATTTCTGCTACTTAAATCTGATCATATAGCAAGCCAGGGGCTCAAACCTGAGCATAGAGAGGAAACCTAAATGATCCTATGCCTCACATGACCTTTCTGCTGTGATTAATCACATCTACTAACATATTTGCAGGCAAAATCCACAGTAATGTGTTGTGTATGTTCTACCTAATATTTAAACAATACATAAAGAGGAAGCATTCATTGTGAGCAAATGAAAAGCCCTGCCCTTAAGTATCCTTCAGAACCTACAAGTCATTCCTGACATACCAGTCCAGTGTCGCTGCAGAGAACTGTCTTGCACAGGGTATTCAATTCAGAGCTATTTCTGTTCTTTTGATTTTGTTCTTTGTTATAACATAAACTCATAACCGCCCTGGCTGCACTTGGCCACAAAGGAGAGAGATTTGAATCCACCAGCAATCTATAGAATAACCCAGAACCTGCTTCTGGCTTTTGAATTCCTGATGACAATTACTGTCATTGTTGAAAGTGCCCCATTAATTAGGATATAGCAGTCATATAATTAGTGGCATGCTTTACTGACAGGGTGCAGCATATTGGCCCTGGGTAGCTCACCTAAGATATGTGTCTGGTGCCTTAAACTATGGATGTCTAGTAAATCTTGGAACTGGTTTCAAAGACTGAGAAGCAATTAAACTGAAGAGTTTTAGGTAGGAGTACATTCACAACTTCAGTGCATAGTTTGGATCATTGCAGGATTTTTCTCAGACAAAAGCATAATGCCAGTATGTTAGTGGCCACCACCATTTGCAGCTAAGGCATTGCATGACACGGTTGCACTCACATACATTCAGGTAATAGACTCATACACATAAAATAAAAATAATAAAATATTTTTAAAGTTTCAAGAAATGACATTCATTTATGCAATAAAGCAATGATTTTGAAATTGGGGTTGCATATAAAAAATATTCAGACCTAATTTTACTAATTTTTGTGCCCCAAAACAAGGTGAATAGGAGGAATTTTCATTTTCTGGCTTGTAGGGTTTTTTAAAATACTCTGTGCATGACAACAAGCAAAGCCAACCCACCCTCCTCTTGGCACTGTGATTTGAGGACCCTTAGCCAGCACTGGCTCATCTCACTATTTGTCCACACCAAGGACTGGCAGACTTCTTCAGTAAAGACTCAGAAAGTAAATATTTGGGGGTTTGTGTTGTCCATATGGTGTCTGTCCCCACTACTCAGCCACGCCATCATAGCACAAAGAAGCCATGGATACTATATAAACAAATGAGCATGGCTGTACACCAGTAGTTATGAACAACAACAAAAAGTAAGTTGCCAGTCCGTGGCTGCAGCTTGCCAAACCCTGGTCCAGACTCTAGACCTTGCTATGCAACTTTTTTTTCTTATTTCTTGGGCATTGAAGAGCTACAATATGATACTTCATGGTTCGTGACAGATCAGATACTTGGTATTTACATTAGGATCTTTTGCTTATATAAGAAATAAATGGATTTGTTCTGAGTTTATTCTCAGAGTCCAAGTTTCTCTCTTTGGAAAGCACTGGTTCCTTCATGAACAGCACTAACCCTACTGAGAGAATCTCTCCAATCCTATGCTCCAAGAAGATAATCATTTTGGAAATTACCTCTTATGTAGTAACTAATGCAGAGGTTTCTGCCATCTCCTCACTTTTCAGTTTAAATGCTTGCTTGCTACAACAGCACTCTAATGCTTTCCTTACCAAAATCACTTGAAAACTAATACAGTGACTCAATGTATTTTTCACCCAGTTCCACATACACATGCTCCATGTACAGTTCTGGAGATTCTATTCTGTGGTCAAGAGGAAAGGGGAGAATTAATACAGTTTCAGTGCTATTAAAGAGTAATGGTGATAACGTCCAAGTTTGGCTCCAAAGGAAGTGAGATGATGGACATAACTCAGATGGGTGGAAACATCAAGCCAAGTTCCTGAAGCCAAGAGCCCTCTGTGTACTTGTTTTCCAAGCACACAGCATAGCCAGGAGTAGTGACTGTACACAATCAGCACCTTGAAAGCTGCATCAAGCTTGCCAATTTAATAGTGATGTGATGGACATAAATACAGCAGTTAACTAAAATGAACCTTCCCAACACCCTTCCAGACTGCTCTACATAAGCTCCATGGCTTGTTGTTGCAGCAGTTCTTGAACAGAGGGACTGCAAACCTAACACACGCGTCTGGCGACTATCCCGCCCTCCTTCCCCCAACCGGGTCTTTTTACTGTTGCCAAAGTTTTGCCTTTTCTAGACTGTCATGGAGTTGGACTGGCACCCTCTGCAGCCTTTTGAGCCTGATTTCTTCTCTTTCTTAATATTCATTTATCCTCCCTCCACATCTTTTCATAGCTTTATAGTCTTTTAGTGAGATTGCTAGATAAATGCCACACATTTTGCACTTTTAAAACAAGAGCTCAAAATTGAACCCAATGTGATTGTATGGGGAGATTTGAGACTGCTTCTAATCATCAGACTCATCAACAGTCTGGCTCTTATTATGGCCATCTTGAAGCAAAATATAAAATAAAATTCCACACATATACAGTTTCCATGCAAATATAGACCAGTCTGGGACTATTAAACATAGTGCTTTAAAACAGTGCTTTAGCAATTGTAAATATAAGGAAGAGTCTTCCCACCCAGGAATTCTTGAGTCTGTCCCCTTTCTCACCAGCCTAAGGGTACCACACAACATGCTGTCTTGTGCCAGGAGAACAAATCAGTTACAGGAGTTATGGCCCAACCAAGAAAACTTTTTTCTTTTCTAGAAAGGGAGGAAATTCCTCTTCCATTGTGGGTCCTTATTGAGAGGTAATGAGTCCCAACCACAATGTAAAAGATATTAATCCCAATGTCGAATGTTTTGGGGTGCATCCAGTTGAGCAAAGTATTGCTAAGAATTTTGCAGATGCAAGATAATGTCCATGTTCCAGAGAAGAATCTGCTTCCCCGGGATCTGGCGAGTGCACAACCAAGAAGGAGTTGGTCCATTCCTGATGGACCAGCTCGTGTGATCAAAGCCACTTTATATTTGAGCTGCTGCTGTCCAGATGCCAGTCCTACCATGCATGCATCCCACATCCAGAGCCTTTCACTTCATGGTTCTCATTTGAAAGCAAACCTCAGACATTTTCTAAGACTTGAGCTCTTATCCTCCTGTCCAGAGCACCTCACCTAAGTCTTCTGAACATGATGCACCAACAAGGAAATGAATCAGTTCAAACGTTCTTGATCTGGAGGATAGTTGCCCAATTATAGACTACTCACCCAAATACCAAATGACTCAAACTGGCAAATACTGATGAATTCACTAAGGCAAAATTGATTGCCTGCTATTTTTGATGCATTTTGTTTGGATATTTAGAGCAGTTTTGACTTAGCAGAAGGTACAGTGATTTCCCACATGTTCCCTATGCCCATACTTTCACAGCCCCCCCCTTATCAACATCTCCCTTCAGAGTGGCATATTTGGTACCATCAATGAGCTTATACTGATGCATCATTATCACTCCAAGTCCTTAGTTTCCATTAGGGTCTCTTGGAGGTATTCTGTGGCTTGAATAAAATGACATGTATCCATAAATACAGTATCATATAGCAGATGTCCTAAAAATCCTATGTTCTGGGCCTGGAAAGATGGCTCAGTAGTTAAGAGCGTGTACAGCTTTTCCAGAGTTTAGTTCCCAGCATTCACATCATCACATCAGACAGCTCACAACTGCCAGTAACTCCAGATCTAGGGGATCTAACACCCTCTTCTGACCTCTGCAGGCACATATATTCATGTGTGCATACCCCTAGACACACACACACACACACAAACACATACACACACACACTACACATAATTAAA